CAAACACATATTTCAAATTATTTTCTGATTGTTTCTCAATCACTGTTTACAAGCTCTGCTCTTACTGAGTTTTTAGCAGTCCTTTCCCTTTTCTCAGCAGGAAAGAAGTCCAGGGACCTCACGTGGCAGTAGATGTTTTGCAGCTGTCTGCAAGGTGTGCTATTAATCCCATTTGGAGTTGGCAGATTTCCCATCTCACAGATTTTTTTAGTTCTTTTTATTAGATATTTTTTTCTGATTTATTTTACATTATGCTTAGAGTTTTGAATTTGAGTACATTCGTGTAATTAAAAAAACAGAAAGTCATAAAGGTGTATATTGAAAAGTGCTCTCTTCTTTGTCCCATTTCTGCCTAATTCTCACTTCCCTCCACAACCTAAGTGTTCCATTTTCAGTATCTTTGTGGAATTCCTTTAATGGTACGTAAGCAAACACAAATATAAATTCTTACTTTCCCTCCTCATTTGAATATACAAGGTCCCCAACTGCCACCGTGCCTCCTGTATTTGACAGTGTAACAGAGGAGTGTGCTGGAGGGTCGGGATGCCCCCTAGCCTGTCTGAACGAGATGCCATCCTGGGTTCTTCTGCAGTTAGTGCAGTGTGTCACTGTGTGGGTCACCAGGGCATGGCTCTTAGGTCAGTGCTGGTCTGAATTGAGGCCCCGCTGTGCCACTGACACTCCCTTTCTTCTGGTGCTGTAGCCGTGGGACAGAGAATAGACAGTACACCTTCAGAAAATTTTACGGCATTTTGGCATTGCCACCAATTTGGCATTTAAGGGTGTGAGCTGTGGTTCCTCTCATTAAACAGACTATAGATCAGTTTGGGAATTGTCAAACTCAGGGGCACGTGAGTATGTGCAGCCCCAGCTGCACTCTAGTCTTGTGTGGTGTGACCCATATTCCTTGGCAACAGATGGAAGAGGGCAGGATAGCCCCTCACCATAGGGAGCTTCTGAACCTCCGATATGGGGGCCTTGGAGATGCAGTGTCTGAAGAGTGTAAGACTCTGGAGGACTTTACAGTAGCTGTGGTTTGTAGGACTGGGTATTTGGCTAATTTTGTGGTCAGCATATCTCTAGTAACCCAGAACCAATAGAAGGCAATAATAGCAAGAAAACCTTTTTCTGTCTTTGTGGACAGTTGAGAGTTGTGGTGCAGAAGAAGTGTCCGGAGGGCCGCACTGTGTAATTAAAGACTCTGCTGCTTTATCAAGGCGCGTCAGTGTGTGCCATGAGTTTTCNGTCCTGCCACACTGAGAAGCAGTTGGTTGCAGCAAATTTTGGGCGTCCTCTGAATGGTTTTCACATGATTTCTGGACACTCCAGATAAGAAGCAGTAAAATGGCTATTTTTTTTTAAATACGTATAAAGAGAACAGTGTTCTCTATCACATGCTCGGAACTTGAGCCTGTGGTGTAAATACCTTAGAAGAGGTGCCGTACATTGATTACTTCAGTTGTCTCCATTTACTTATAAAGGCAGTGAAGTCAGCTCTTGGCTCCTCTATGTTCCTAGTGACCATTTCCATCATTTACCTCCTCTTTCCAAACATTACCCTGGAATGACCTGGTGGAGCAGCTTGATGACAACATCTAAACAAAGAAGAATTCCTAATTCTTGCCCCTTGTCAAAAAAAAAAAAAAAATTAAAATTTAAAAAAATTTTCAAAGTCTCTATGTGCTGCAGGGATATTTATAGGAGATGTCCTCTGCCCTGGAGCATAAGCTTACCTCCTCTAAACTACAGCAAGGAAACACCAATATTAGAGTTAGATTGAGAAAATCTTTCTAGTGCACTGGGTAGATGAACAGCCTCACTGCAGCTATGTGAAATATGAGGAAGCGGGTGACTGGGTCACGGTATGTATTCACGTCGTTCTGCTGAGTACTGGTTCCTCAGCACCTGCTNCTGAATAAGCCATTGTACACACTAAGTACACTTATGACTTTTCAGATAACTGGATACTAAACGTACAAAACTTCCAATACACTGGAGCTAGATTTAAATCCAGAAACCCATCATACTCCATAGAGGCTGAAAAGCCATGTGGGGGGAAATACAGAAAAGTAAATAGACACTGAATTAGACTGGGGTGAAAAGAATACTATTAGCAGAAGAGAAAGAAACAAAATAATTGAAGATGTTACTTCATATTTACTGCATAGCTTTACTGAACAAAAAGTGCTTTGACTACTGATTTCCAAAGTGGATGGATAACTTGCTGAATCATTAGAGGTGACGATATCCATAGCTTGGGCATTAAGTGGGCTGTGGAGTGTAATTGCAGCAAGCCAGTGTTGTGTTAACAGCATTAAGAGTCTCTGCCAGTACAATTCTGTACTCTATTGAAATGCTGTTAATTCTTTTATTTTATTTTCTTACTAAGAGTAATGCATTTTGCACTTCATAGTCTGATGAGAAGTGTTAAAAGTTAGAAATGAAATTTATTTTTGAGGCATTAAAGAAGAGAATTATATAACCAACGGCTATGGAGTAGGGCTCATTCATGTTTCATTACCAGTTTGTGTGACATAGCCCACGTCCTGCCACACTGAGAAGCAGTTGGTTGCAGCAAATTTTGGGCGTCCTCTGAATGGTTTTCACATGATTTCTGGACACTCCAGATAAGAAGCAGTAAAATGGCTATTTTTTTTTAAATACGTATAAAGAGAACAGTGTTC